GTTCTAGGCATACCACCCCCGGACATTGACGAGACAGAGCTTCATCTGCCTCGGGAGACGCGCACCACACTTGCACAACTTCGCTCCGGCTACTGCAGCAGGTTAAACTCCTACCTGAGTAGGCTGAATGAGGATGTGTCTAATGAATGTCCGGCATGCGGAGAGACCCCACATGACTCGAAACATCTCTTCGCATGCCCGGCAAACCCGACATCCCTAACGACCTTGTCCTTATGGGCAAACCCCGCAGAAGCTGCACGCTTCCTAGGGTTGCCGTTAGTGGAACTTGACGACAACGACTGAGATACCAACCGATCTGGGCGGGGTTGTCGTAGCCGCTACAACAACAACAACAACAACCATCCTTTAAAAACCTCTTCCATAATGGCATCCTGGAGTCTGGTTAGGTCTTCCGAGCTCACGGCAGCAGCTGGGTACTCACAGGGCAGCACAGCTACCCGAATGCCTTTGAGGGCTTCCGAATAGCTGGGTTGCTGAGTGGAACCCCCCTGCGCCTGTCCCTGCTCGATCGGCCCGCCCAGGCTCCTAGACCATGAGTTCGGAGGGGGTGGCTGCTCCCGCTGCCGTTTGGTGCCCGGTGTCTCTGGCGGAGTGACCTGGTTGCTACCTCTTTTGTTGGAGCCTGTTGGTTCCACGCTTTTCCGCTTTTCAGCGGGCGCGGGTCTGTGCTGCTGTTGTCGCTGTGGCCCGCTCTTCTGCTTTTCAGCAGGTGCGGGTAAGTGTGCCTGTTTGTGGGGCCCGCTCTTCCACCTATCGGCGGGTGCGGGTTTGTCGCCTTTCTTGGGCCTTTCGCGTCCCTCATTCTCGATCTCCATCCTGACCTTTGCCACGGCTCTGGCTTCGACTGGGGGTTTGCCTTGCCCGAGGTACCGGAGGTACCATTTGACCCCGGAGCCGCTTAAGCCCTCGCGAAGCCGATCGTCTAGGGACCCCGGTTGACCTGGCTGCGGCATCGGAGGAGGCTTGGCCCTGCGGTGCTTCCTACTCCGTTGCTT